TGGAACAATTTCGGAATGAGCGATACAGCCAGGATCGTGATTCCCCTCTATTAGAGACTGATGAAGAATATAACAATCTCGTAAACAGGATGGAAGCATAGTGGACCCCACTATCACATGCAGTTGTCTCATGATCGACTCCAACCTTATCCAGGACATGTGGAGCAACCTGCATTATTAGGCAGAAAGTGGTCAGACAAATCTTTTCGGTCGACGCTACAAAACAGAAAAGATTAGCCAAATCTTATCTGTTTCAGTCTATTCCTTTGAAAACCGAGGACGGTAGACAGTCATGTATATTTGTATATAATTGTAGCTTAGTTGGAGTTTGGCAGAACCTCCATAACTCTGTTATCAGAATCTTATGATTCGGGATTCGATTCACAATTTTTGCAAAATCGATAGTAATCTATAGGTGAATCTATTTTGGAAGTGAATTTCTATTGAAACACATGATTCACAACTGATTCACGATTTGATTCACTTTTTACGATTCATGCAATTTTTGAAATTATTGTGTCCGACATATTTTTCATTCTTTTCTTCATCTTTTTAGTGAAAATGACATAACACAACTTCTAATAGCGTTTAGTACCAAAATAATCAATATATACACATGATTTGTTGTTATTTTAGTATTCATGGATTTTTTAATAGAATCCAAACAGATTCAGTCAGGCCCAACATATTTTTAACCTTTCTTCTCATTTTTTTCCCTTTAAAAATTATAATATATCTTCTAAAGATGTTTAAGATTAAAGTTATACTATGAATTATCTATTGCTATTTTATTAAATTGAATATTACATGTGTGAGGTTAGTTATACCTTTTAAAATGTTTTAGGCTTTGAAATAAAAGATTCTAAATAATTATTTCTTATAATTTGCTCACTGTTACTTAGAAAAGTATATATGCTTATTGTCCAAATATCAATATCGTTGTTAATTATTATTACTTTGGAAATTAATAGTTTGTCTATTTGGTTATTATTTTTATTAAGAATGGTTGATATGAAATATGTAAAAAAGAAAAAAGTAAGATGATTTTACAGAGGAACCTTTATTAACTTCTTACCTATTAAATTACGTGATTATCATTGAAAATAATATTTTCATTGATTTAAGTTTAAATATTTCATATTCATAAGATATATTAAACATCTAAATATGTAGATATATGTTAAGTAATTTAGAAAAAGTGACCGAATCTTTATGATTCACGATTCGATTCAATTAACGATTTAGTACGAGGCCATTTTGATTCACGATACGAATTCCAATTTGACAACTATGCTCCATAAATATGTCTAGGTGTCATGTATAATTGTCAAGTAGTATTTACAAGCCTTAAGTCTAGGCTAGTAAACTTTTGGAGTACAGACTTTTGGAAAACTTTGCAAATTTGGACGTATGTATTTGATAGTCTAACCAATTAGGTATGTATTAAATTTAGACTAGACTTTTTGGTTTTATTTGTTTATGGAGTTGTATTCTATAAATTGGCTTTCAAGCCAACATAATACAATATTGTAAATTCTCTCCATCTTCGTTGCCTAAACTTTGCCTTTCCTTGTTCTGTTAGAGGGATGGACTGAAAGCCAATTTGACACCTAGACATATTTATGGAGGTTCTGACAAATTCCAACTAAGCCACAATTATATACAAATATACATGACTGTCTACCCTCAGTTTTCAAAGGGATAGACTGAAATAGCTGATCTTTTCTGTTTTGTAGTGTCGGCTGAAAAAATTTGTCTGACCACTTTCCGCCTAATAACATAGGTTGCTTCATTTGTCCTGAATAAGGTTGGAGTCGATCATGAGACAACTGCATGTGATAGTGGGGTCCACTATGCTTCCATCCTGTTTACGAGATTGTAATATTCTTCGTCAGTATTTGATGGAGGGGAATCAGGATCTTGGCTGTATCGCTTATTCTGAAATTGTTCTACATCATCCGCGGTCATGGCTAGTTTCAACAGAAGATCCAAATTATTTCTCATTTTGAGATTTAATAACATGTCAAGAGTCTCATTAATTTGTGTAGGAGACCTTTGATATATTATGGAAAAATGAGTTACAAATAGTGTTCTACCATCTGTGACCATGAATGATAATTTTGCTAAGCCTGCATGTGGAAAAATTATTAGACTGTCTATCTAATATTTTGTCAAAAGAATTTTTTGAATATTTTTCAATCGCTCCTTCCTACGATCTTCATCCAAATAATCATCTTCAAATTCGAAATCTTTAGTTTCTTTGAGATACCAAATTTGATATGGTTGGAAAAAGTGTTCTCGTTCTCGCCAACCAATTGTGCTATAGATCCAAAAAGTAAAATAATCCAATATTTCAACAATATTTTCATATCAGTCCTATTATAGGTATTGGTTTGAAGTACCAGAATATCTTCTGTACCATAAAATAGCCTAGGAATAGAGTTATCTTCTGGACTATTCATTCCATCATTGTTTATGAAGGATATAGTTTCTAATTGAGTTATCAAATTGTTTATTTGGATTTTTGCTTCTTTGTTTAAGTCAATAGTTATTATAGAACCTAAATTGTCTATTTTAGATTCTATAGACTCAACTTTAGTTTCTAGATAATTCTGATTTGTGTTTTGATTTTTATTTAATTTAAAAAACCAAGAACACATAATATCGGTAATATTATTTAAATTAGAACACATACTATTTATATTTGTAGCCTCTTTAGTAATATGCAAACTATAGTCATATTTATTATTAACATTATTTTTGTATTTCCAAAACATATTGTATCTTCAGGGTTAATTGCCATTATAGATTGTTGTTGGTACCTAAGATCCTTCTAGTGTATTTATTTGGTGCCTAAAACCTCTCTTTATGATCTTAAAGACTTACAAATGCCTAATTATGACCAATAGTCAAAAGATCTTAACGAGTATATGGGCTTTGACATACACTAAACATATAGGTTTTACAACAACTATAAATAAAACAAATAATTATGAAGATATAAAATACAAAAGATACACAATTTAAGATTAAACTTGACGAATAATGTTTTATGATTTTCTTTTTAAATATCGTTAAGCACACCATACACAATTATATATATCAAAATTTATACATAGATAGAAATACTTACATAACTTGATCTTGCTTTCAAAAGCTCTTCACTAAGTTCTGATACCTTGTCTTGTCTTGTCATGTCGAATGGACTAATGAACTATATTAATGGCTACCTTATTATCACAATACAATTTCGTGGGTTCTTTGTTATACAATCTGAAGACCTTTAGTAAAATCTGAAGCCATATAAGCTTGCATATACCATGAGCCATGTTCTTGCACTCTACCTCTGCACTAAATCTGTCCACTATGGGTTGCTTCATACTTATCCATGTAAAAAATTTCTCCTTACAATAGTACAATATCTGGAAGTAGACTTCCTATCATCAACTGTACCTGCCCGATCTACATTAGTAAAAACCTCCAACCACTCCAATCTCAGATGACTATGGTTAGAGAACAAGATCCCTTTTCTTGGAGCCTACTTAAAGTGCATAAGAATCCGATGAACATGTAGATGTACCGTACGAGGATCATGTATAAACTGATTGACTACCCTAGTGTATGTCCAATATCCGATTGAGTATGAGATAGGTACATCAGTCTCCCAAAACAAAATCTCTGGTACCTACCCTTATCAACTAGATCGCTAACACTACAATTGAGTTAGTGATTTGCATCAATAGAAGAATTTGGTGGTCTACACCCAACATGCCTGTTTCCTTAAGAAGATCAGAATGTACTTTCTTTTATTAATAAAATGCCCTAGTTCGATCTTGCAAGTTCAATTCCAAGAAAGTATCTCAATAAACCTAGATCTTTGATTTCACATTCCTTGACTAGGTGTACTGTAAGCTGAGACTTCTTCTACATCATTTCGTGTTACCACTGTTATTCTAATACACAAGAGGGTAATTTTATCCTCATCTTGTTTAATGAATGTGGTATGATCTACATTGTCTTGCTTAGACCCAAACCTCAGAACTCCACTCCTCCCACCTGCCTTGTAACCCAAGTACAAGTTTTACTTGCCTACCCCCAAACCTGCCCCTATGGTTGAAGTGCCTGAACCTATATCATTAGGGTCAGGGTGGGGCAGGGACCATGGTATGGGATTTTTTGCCATTCCTTTGCCGGTTCTTGCTGTCCACATTGCTTGACTGATAGTTGTGGGTGGGGGATCACAAAATTGAAGTAGATGAAGAGGGGGAGGAGGCCGTACTAGCAGTCAAATTTCAACCTAAGTCAGGAAATGGTTATACCAAAAAACCAGATCACTAACCTGCTGGATGTTAAAATGAGTATCACACGACTGTATCCTGTTCCATTCATTTTAGACCTACGGATTGTAGTTAAGATAATAAAGCCTTAGAGCAGCTTTTTACCTGGAGGCCTCTAATTTTTACAAATGAGGTGAAAATAAAGAGTTTTTGCCTTTCTGGGTGTGGCCCTTATAAATCACCAGAGGTTAGGAATTTAGAAGGTATATATGCCGATTGTATGCCTTTGGTGTAATATAATACCTCTAAAAAGATAATGATGTACATGTACATTTACCAACATTATTTGATTTGTTGAGGTTTGAACCATCTATTGCTTTAATATATTTGTTTTAAATTTTATTTGTTTGAATGGGCCTTTTGATGGGCTTCAGCATACAATTCTGCTTGTGGTCCTGTCAGATGCCGATATCATATAATCATGAATTCAGTTTCAAGCTTATCCACCCTTATGTGACACCTCTGTATCATATTAACATAGGCCAAGTTTGTTAGCTGACTGCTATCCACATATCCCTGGACCCCAAATCTCAAACATTTAGTTCTTGTTTTACTTCTGTGGTACTTGAGGACACGGACATCATCTTGTATTCATGCCTAGTCTAATTAGATTTCTATATATCCACTTTGGTTCCTATCTTAAATAATTTCAGCTCTTCTCAGGTTGCGGTCATCTCAAACTGTAGCATTTTGGCAGCAGTAGGCCAGAAAATGGCAAGTACTCCTGGAGTCAGTGCTACACTTTTCAATGCGCTTGCAAAGGTTGGTAAAGTTATTAAATTAGTATTATACTCTGCTAAATTTTCATGTGCAGTGCTATTGTCATCCCCTTTCAGCTTCATGCATTCTACATTGTGACTGCCTAGATTCCTGGAAATTCAAAGTTCATGAGAAGTGGAGTGCAGTGAGAAAAAGTTGGTGTGTCAATAGGGCACTCCAGAATTATTCTTCCTGAACATTCAATAAGTAGACATTTTGCCTCCGGAATTACACCTGATTACTGGCATGTGTACATTATGATAGATACTTAACTGCAAAATAAATTTTATCTGTCCTTTTCCCTGTGGTGGAGCCCAATTTCTAGGTTATATGCATGCTTCTCATAAATTTCATGAAAAAGTTAATGAATAGTTACTATACTGCAGGCTAATATTAATGTCCGTGCTATAGCCCAAGGTTGCTCAGAGTACAATATCACTGTGGTTGTCAAACAAGAAGACTGTGTGAAGGCCCTAAGAGCTGTCCACTCAAGATTTTATTTCTCTAAAACCACGATAGCAGTGGGTATTGTTGGATCTGGATTGATTGGTGGCACCTTGCTTGACCAGCTCAGGGATCAGGTACATTCCATTTTCTTTATCAGTCAATTAGTATCATATCTATGATGGATTGCAGTTTATTGATTAAGTTTGAGTCTAGACAGTACAAGTCGATTCATGATAATTGATAGATTAAGGTTCAATGGTTAAATACTAGAATTGCAACTGTCCGCTTTTCTTTTATGAGGAGCATGAAGTTCACATATTGAATCCTCTTGTGTTTATGAATTTGGACAACATGGTCTTAAAATGAAGCTCTTAAATTCCATCATCTTTGTTGCGTACTTGTATTTTATTTTTTTGGGTGAATTACCGTATCGTACCTTATTTTCAAAATACATTAAAGAGGTTTAAGAATACATAACTTTGATCTCAACCCAACTCAACAGAGCCTTGTTTCCTTTTTTAATATCCGGGAGCACCTTCAGGGTAGGGTCTTTTGGACCAACCCCATAGGATAAAACCTGGGATGTACCCCAACGCCCCCACAAGTGTACATTAGGTAAAGTTGAGGTGGCTCGAATTGGGACTTGCTGCTTTATTGGTATAAGTCTCACCGCTGAGCTACTCACCGTTAGACAATTCAATGAAGCCTTTGTGACGACCCCATTCCACGCCAAACTATAGTCATTTCATACCAAAGCATAAAAGTGCATCCTATTCAAGGAATTATGGTTCTAAACTATGTTTCAAGGATTCATTAAGCATGCTTCAAAACATTTTAGGTAGAAAAGGAAACTAAACCAAACTAAGCCTTAAGTTCCATCAAATGAGATCAGCTACATGAATCGTTTTTCTCCACTTGACTCCTATCAACTTCCGTTTAGTTAGTCAAATTTAGGAGATTCATATCTTTATTTACTACACTATCTCACGTCAATCTAGGTCTGCCCCTGGCCTTGCCCCTAACACTTCCATCTGTCATCACTGTATCATATCTCTTCACTACCGCCTCTGTTTATATGACCAAACATCTCAATCTATTCTTTCTCAACTTATCTTCTATCGGTACTACTCCTACCCATTCATGAATATACTCATTCCTAACTCTGTCTTTTCTAGTCTTGCCACATATCCACTGTAGCATCCTCATCTCAGTAATACTCATCTTATCTACATGTTGTTTCTTAATTGCCCAACATTCTATCCCATACAATATCGCTGGCCTAATAGTCGTTCTATAGAACTTTTCTTTTAGTTTAGTGGGTACGTGCTTATCACATAGTACCCCAGACGCACTTTTCTACTTAAGCCATCTCGCCTTAATTTTATAGACCACATCCGCTCCAATCTCCCAAGCCGTTGTGATAATCGATCATAAATAACGAAAATGTTCACTGTTAGATAGTTCTTGGTTTTCAATCTTCACTTATCCTCTACTTCCATTATTACTATTACTAAAATTATACTTTATGTACTCTGTTTTAGTTTTGCTTAACCTAAATCTTTTAAATTCTAGTGCTTGTCTCCAAGTCTTCAATTTAGTGTTAACTCTTTCTCTAGTCTCATCTACTAACGCGATATCATTTGCAAAAAGCATATACCATAACACATCATCTTGAATATTTCTTATCAACTCATCTATAGCTAAAGCAAAAAGGTAATTGAGATTGATCCTTGGTGTAACCGCACAGTAATTGACAATTCACTAGTCTTTCCAGCAGACGATCTAATGTAACTTTTTTGTCACCATTTTCTTCTCTAGCACCCACCATATTATATCCCGAGGCACTTTATCATATGCTTTCTCAAGATCGATAAAAACTATATTAATGTCTCTTTTCTTTTCTCTATAATTTTCTATTACTCTCCTCAAAAGATAGATCGTTTCTATTGTTGACCTACCAGACATAAATCCAAATTGATTCTCTGACACCTTTGTTATATCTCGCAATTGATGTTCCATCACTCTCTCCCACACTTTTATTATATGACACATGAGCTTGATTCCTCTATTGTTGTTGCAATTTTGGATATTTCCTTTATTCTTATAGATTGGCACTAAAATACTCTTCCTCCGCTCCTTTGGCATTTTTCTAGTCAACAAAATCTTGCTAAATAACTTAGTGAAGCAAGCAACCCCCTTCTTATCCAAACATTTCCAAGCTTCAATAGGGATATCATTAGAATCTTCTTAAGTGTAATCTCCACTTCAAAGTTTCTAATCCTTCGATAGAACGCATAATCTTGGTTTCCTTATTAGTGGCTACTTCCTCCCCTTTCGACCTTCTTCCATGTTCCTTATTTAACAATTTTTCAAAATAGTTATTCCATCTCTCCTTTATCTCTTCATCTTTCACCAACACCTTAGAGTCCTCACTCTTGATGCACTTAACTTGATTAAAATCTCTTGTTTTCCTCTCTTATCTTAACAGGTTTGTGTATTCTCTTCTCTCCCTCCTTATTATCTAATCTAGTGTATAGGTCATCATAGGCTTTCAACTTAGCGACCTCATTATTAGCCAATCTATAGCCCTTAAGGTTTTCCTTAGTTATTCTTTTGCCACTCTTTAAAGCACTAGTTTTTCGTCTTTACTACCGCTTGAACCTCCTCATTCCACCACCAAGTTTCCTTAGAGTTGGGTCCCTTTCCTTTTGACTCTCCAAGGACTTCCCTTGAGATTCTTGTCATATAATTAGCCTTTGAGTTCCACACAGTGTTAGCATCGTCTTCCAAGTCTCAAGTACTTTTTTTTACCTATTTTATTCTTAAATATTTCTAGTTTATCCCCTTTTAGGTCCTCCCATCTCGTCCTACGACGCCCATTATCCTTCCTAACTTGGTATTGCCCTTTCAAGTATAGATTTAGTACCAAAATCCTGTGTTGAGACGCCAGGCTCTCTCCAGGAATCACCTTATAGTCGCTGTATTTTAGATGCTTCACTTTTCTTACTAGAAAGTAATCTATTTGGCTCCTAATTGACCCACTCTTAAATGTTATCAAATGATTCTCCCTCTTCTTATACATAGTATTGACCACCACCAGGTTAGAGGCCAATGCAAAATTTAAAGTACTCTCTCCTACCTCATTTCTATTATCAAAATCATACCCACCATGCACCCTCTCATAACCTAGTTTAATAAAAAATGCACATGTCATGCAATAACACGAAGCTGTTAGAGAGCCTTGTTCCACAAACATGTTTGAAATATGTTTTCACCTTTTAGTTGGCTAATATTTGGAGAATATTAATAGAGGATCAAATGTCAAGAAATGCAATGTTGGCTCAATTTTACTTACAATCATACTCAGTAAGGTGAAGGAGGATGTCATAATTAGGACAACTTGTTTGATAGAGCTGTTCCACTTCTATATTGGTTGGTTCGTTCTTGGATTGTTTTGATAGCATCAGTGGCATGTTCTTCTATGGCATCCATCTCTTGGAGTTTTGACTTCTCTAGAAACTTCAATGTTAGGGAGGTTGTTGACTTGGTATCTTTGTTGGTATTGCTTGATAGGGTTCTCTTTCTTCCTCTCGTGACACTAGGGTCTGGAATATTATTTCTTAGGGGTCTTTTCCTGTAAATCTTTTTTTGATAAGCTTATTGATAATCCCTCTGTTCCTGTGTTCTCTATAAAAAAAAAATTTGGAAATTGGTGGTTCCATGTGGTCTTTAGCTCAAAGGGGTCTCAAAACTAATGATGTTTTCCAAAGAAGAAGCCTAATCACTCTCTTTGCCCTCAATGGTGTGTGATGTGCAAGAGGAATTCAGAGGCGTCAGATCATTTATTCCTTCATTGCCCGATAGCTTTTGCATTATGGTAGCACCTTTTTGGCATATGTGATAATCAGTGGGTTGCTCCGCAGGATTGCATTCAAATGCTTCTTGTTAGGTTCAAAGGGTTTGGAAACACCAAAAGTGCTAAAACATTGTGGTCAAGTATTGCTTTTGCTATTTTTTGGACTATATGGTTGGAGAGAAATGCAAGAATCTTTGATGGAAAGGAATGGAATGTAGAGGTTTTGTGGGATAGGGTGGGGTATTTGGCTTCGTTTTGGGCATTTGTATCCCCTCCTTTTAAAGGAGTTCCTTTGTTCTTGATCTCTAGGAATTGGGCTACTGTTTGCCATCCCTAATGCTAGGAGTTTTGTGCTTTTGTTTTGCTCTATCTCCTTCTTTGTATGAGGACTTCTTGTCCTCTTTCATTTTTCTTATTTTTAATAAAATTTTTAGTTGATGCTCAAAAAAAAAAAAAAATGTAATAATTAGGAGCAAACCCCATAAGACAACAATGCTTGATTCGTTTAGTTAGATTCCTGGAGGATTGTTATTCAGAGATTTACACTACTTAGTTGAGTAGGGCTAATCATATAGTGAAGGTAGAAGATGATTGTAACTTTAAGCTCTATAATTATAAACTAATTCCAACTCTCTCTCTCAACTCATAAACTCAATGTTTCATTATGACTTATATTGTTATACTGATTGAAGCTAATGTGTTCATTTTTGTTAACTTTTATTTCTAATATAAATTTTAATTTATTCATTGTAACTTGCACAAGAGAAACTTTAACTATGATATTCATTTAAGTCATTTAAGAAAGATTTTACTGGTCACGATGTAGGATTGCTATTGATATTTTCTATGCATTAGATTCAATGGTATAGACTGTGACAAGGTTGTGATGCAGTCTTGAATAGAACTCACCTCCATACAGTAGCTTGTGAAGTGGGATGCCCTCATGCTTATTCATTGCACATCTCTTTTGTACCTAGGCAATGCGGGATTTCACTTCATACTCTCCCTCATGCCTAGGGTGCAAGGCTTGAGACATGCACCCTACCCTTCCCTGTGGTACGTCCAACTCTTATACCACCATGTGCTACTATCTTGAGCAACTTTACAAGCTAGCTTGTCGAGTGAGGGTGCCCTCAAATACATATATATATATATATATCACATATCCTTTTTGTATCAAGGTAATGTGGGACTTCGCTTCACATAGGTAACATCAGATTCTCTAAATTAAACACCACAAAATGGGAGCTATGGTGTAGCAACAAAACATTCTAGCCT